TCCTGCCCGGCCCCCGAATGCTGCGGAGCTGCCTGGGCACCACCGAGCCCCCGAGCTGGCCAGACCCGTGTCTCCAGGGGACCCTCGGCCCGGGCTGAGGGCCACGCTGGCACGGTGACCCCCCCTCCCAGCGGGGAGCCTCCGCCCTGCACCCCGCCACTTCGCAAAACGCGATGGAGGGGTTTCGCACGGGTTCGGTTCATGTGACTCTGATTCAGTCGGGGTTTGACCTCTCTTTTTGCTGAGTTGCGACACGGGGACTTTTTTTTTCTCCACTTACTCCAAAATGTGGCCCCGAAGTGCTGCAGAGTAACACCAGGATCCTGCGGCTCCCGGGGAGGTGCTGCCGTGTGCTCCCTGTATAGCAACCAGAGCGGTTTCTATTTTAAGAAGAAAAGAGTGATTAAAGTGTTTGCCTAGGCAGGTATTTCGGTCGGCTTTGATTCCCGTGTGACTTGTGGCAAGTCACGTAACCCCCGCCCCACGCTTCACTTTTCTACCAGCAACGTAAGGAAAAAAAATATTCTCAAGGGTAATGATGCTTTCCTACCCCACGGGCATATTGTGAGAATGAATGTGGAAAACGCTCCGAGGGGCACAGGCATTACAGCAAGTACTAGACACAGGTTACAGTGGAAGGCGGAGAACTGAACGCTACGGGTGCGATTATCCTTCAAACTGGGAGAAATGGAGAACCCACAGAAAATAAACACGCAAGGCAGCCCGCTGAAGTGGGGAAGGGATGCCACAGTACAAATAGCAAGGAGTGAACTTCGCATTGCTGGAAGTGTTTCTTCCACATGTCCCATATATGATTTTTTTTTCAAGCTTTTACATGTCTGGTGTCAGTGACCTCAAGAAACAATACAGAAGTACCCTGTGTCTGTATGGAAAAGCTGCCATAGGTATCAAGTGAACTGTTATTTTTGGCAATCAGGCATACCATTTACAAATGGGAAAAATCTTTCTCTCATCCATGTGATAAGTATATTTGGAATATTCAGTAAATTAAATTGATCAACCAAAATTTACTGGGTTAATATATCACGAGTTAAATTGCTATAGAAGTATCAAGCAGAAGGCAACATAATTTAGAAAAAAACAAATAAAGCACCTGAAGGTAGTATTTCAACCAGTATCTAAGTTGATCCCACTGCCATTAAAATTTGACCTATGTGAAATTACACTCCTTTGAATCTACACATCAGCTCATCTTATTTTTTTCTTTTATATTTATTAGTTTAAATTGGTATTACACACACTCTTGTCATTAGTTCTGACGCCTATCCGTAACCGCTTACTGCAAATAGCTCCAAACTGCAGAAAAGTTTTGTACAACTGCTGAACAAGATCTTAACGCACCCTTTCTGCCTGTTGGATCAGATCAAGAAATCTGATAACTGATGATACTTCACTGTGTACCAAGTGATGTGCTTAAGTTAGCAATAACGCATGAATGAGAAGTCCATCTGTGTAACTTTGGTTTCATGTGCACGATTTCTCCAGACATTTGCATTTGCTGCATGTCTAATGGTAGTCTGGCAGAAAAAGGAAAAACTTCAAGCAATCCTGTGCTTACTCTGCTGCAAACATCTTTTTCAGTCGATAATAAATGGATTCTGAAGGCGGTAAGATTAAAACACTTTAGCATTTTTTTGTTTGGCTATTTTTTATGAGGTGTATTTCACTAAGATACTCCTAGATGTACAGGCTTTAATATTTGTTCTTCATTTTTCTAGGTAGCATCCAGTGCTTTGCTGCTGTGATACGCATAACTCTTCTTAAATCAGTGGGATATTCCTGTATTTATAGTTAAATTGTGTCTAAATGCTTCACTGAATCAAGATCATTAAAATGTGCTATGGCCCGGAGGACTAAGAGTAAATGAGCTCAGACCTACTGAGAACGGGGTGCCCGGTTCCCGCGTAAGCTGGTGGTACAGCTCGGGGGGACGCCCTGCAGCGCGGTGGCAGTGGTTAAAAAACCCACCTGGGAACCTACGAGTGTGAGGAACAGATTGCAGGACTGGACAGCCAGGGTCTGCGCGGGATTCTGCATGCAGATTCGTCGTAAGGATACCCAGCTCTTATGCCATGCATTTCACTTACAGGCATGTGAGAACTTAAACAAGGAGGTAGGTATCATTATCTCTGTCCTCCCTCTAGGGAAATTGAGTCATTAGGCATGGAAATAACTTGTCCAAAGTCATCAGCATCAGAGATTGAGCAAGGAATTAGAATCAGACCTTCTGAATTCCAGTCTAGTGTCATCGCTGCTCAGCAACCTAGCTTCTCTTAAAACTATTTTTTTTCTGATTTGTAGTTTCTGAAGCACCGTGCTATAAATAGAACACACATACTGTGACAATGTTTGCTCTCTGCTTTTAGGCAGTGCTTTCATACGTTTCTAAAGCACAAACATGCTCTGCATTTTGAGATCTCGGAGGACAGTCCTATCACTTCTTTACGAACCATATTTGACTATTTTGTTTCAATAACCCTATTTTTCTCTTCCTGTTCGTAAAGCATATTGCACCAGATTTCATCAGCAATTGCAAAATTCTTTTCATACATCAGCCTTTAGTTTTCGGTGAGGATTTTAGGTTCCCAAGGAATCCAGGCTCAGGCCATGCTCTTTCTCTTTATAGTTAAAATGTTTATTTGTTTTACATAGGGTGGAATAGTTGGGATTTGATCGAGGTTACAATTTTTTTCATTAATTTAATTTCTGTCAGTGGACAAAGCTACTGAGCCAGGTCCTGGCCTCACTTACAGTAAGATATCTAAAATGTCTTTCTGAAGCTATTTAACAGACCTACCCT